CAAATTATTGTTGGTTAAGATAAAAGTTTAAATAAATGATTTTTTGATTTAAGGAAGCAGTTTAAGATGTAAAAATTTAAAGGCTTAAGCATGTCATGAGGGTTTGAGTATGTGATATTTTAGATATAAATAAATAGTTTGAGGTAAAAAAAATAATAATGAAACTTTAAAGTCTAACTTTAAAGTTTTAGTAAGCTATAAGGTTTAGGATATAAGATATAAAGGTATATATGAGGTATATAAAAATGGAACCTGTTTCAGATTTCTTTCTCTTGCTATTCTGCTGTTACATGGAGACTCCAAAGGGTCATAGTTTTAAAAATGTCTGTCTACTCTGCAGGTATGAATGAAAATGTGGCCACATGTATGTTTGGTTTTGAATGTCTGAGTTTGCATGTCCTTTGTGTTAAGGAATACAAGTTAATACTAGTCATCTGGCTATCCAGATACTAGTTTAAAGCATATACGGTTGTATTTATATAAAAAAACACTGAGAGGTATATTTGACTAATATATCTATAGGAGAACAAATTAGCCTGGTTATTGTTATCAAATTTAGAGATGTTTTTAAGATTAGGCCTAGATTTGTTTGGCTCAGGTACTTTAATAGATAATGGTCCTCAAACCTGTCAAAGATCTGATGAATATGGCATTTAAATTATTTGATTAAAAACTTACTATCGGAAACAGAGACTCCCAGCTCCCCAGCTCCTAGCAATGACTCTCAAGGTCTCCAAAGAAGATATGAAATAACAAAAAGACACCACCTGGATTATGACAACGTTGACCACAGGGCCACCAGTGCAACGCCTGCCACCAGGACCCAGCCCAGACTGTGGACAAGTTGTAGGACACTGTCAGTCTCCCATGTCCCTATTCCACAGAAAAGGTATTCTGCCTGATGGTGGTAGAAGATTGATGCTGTTCTGACTGGTACCTCCAAAGTTATGGAGACCTGGGTAGGGATTGTTCACTGTTATTTATAGGATTGGATGCTTCTTGGTCTGCACTCAGTCATAGTTTATCCTTTTCAGATCTCTGACAGTACTGATGGCTAGGCAAGCTCTAACTTTGTCAGCATGGCAGCATCAGACAACCAGATCTTTCTGCAAGGCCATAGCTAGCTTGTTAGCTCACTTGAAAAAATGTTCTAAGATAAAAAAATTTAAATAAATCATAAAGGTTCAGATATGAGTCTAAAATAAGATATATTTCAGATTACTCTCCTGTTCTATGGTTCAGAGCTTAACATTTAGGAGTCCTGATGAGCTGGTAGAACAATGACTACTTACTGTTCAATCACAAGCTCAACATTTTAGATTTGTTTTAGATGTCATCTAGATATGTCTAAATGTGAACCTAAAAGTGCTTCTCACCAGGGCTAAAATCTCTGTCCAACTTATACCTGGCTTTCTGGACAAAAGAAAAATGCCCAAATCTGTAGTTCTTGTTGGGACTCAAAGGTATGAGTCCACTTCTGCTGTTTCACAGATACCCATTACCTGCTTTGTCTACAATATGGATTTCAGTACAGATTGGTAACACTAATGTATCTAAAACTTTTATGTCATTTTATAAATAGGCCTCAAAGGATCAAAAGAGTCATAAAAACACCCTTTAACTCGGACCAGCTGGTGGAACTTTATGCTGCCCTGGCAGTGTTTGAAGCATTTGAGGCATGTCTCCTTAACATATTCAGACAGCTGATATGCTAGAAATGGTGCCGGTGATCCAGCCCCACACTCCAACCTTTGAAATGTTCTCAAATATACAAAAACTGATCCGCCAGAGATTGCTCCCCTTTTTTATTGGCCACATTCGTGCCCACACTAGCCTGCCTGGGCCCATAGCACTGGGGAATGAACTCGCGGACGCTGCTACACGGACCCCCCTGATTTTGCTTCTAGAATGTGACCAAGTCACGGCTGCCCGTGAAGCCGACCGATTACATCACCTCAATGCCCAAACCTTGAGGCTAAGATTTTCACTTACTAGAGAACAGACTAGGGAAATTGTCAAAAGCTGTAAGAACTGCCTGGTATATTTACCAGAACTCCATCATGGGGTAAATCCTAGAGGGCTTGTCCCAGGACAAATTTGGCAGATGGATGTCACCCATGTCCCTTCCTTTGGCAAGTTGAAATATGTGCATGTTACCATAGATACTTTCAGC